GATTGTCTTCTGGACAACTGTCAGATCAGCAGTCTTCCCCATGATTGTGTAGCCTAGTGAACCAAACTGAGAGACCATTTTGAAGGCTCAGGAAACCTTTGCAGGTGTTTTGAGTTGATTAGCTGATTGGCATGTCACCATATTCTAATTTGTTGAGATAGTGAATTGGTGGGTTTTTGTTAAATGTGAGCCAAAATCATCACAATTAAAAGAACCAAAGACTTAAACTACTTCAGTCTGTGTGCATTGAATTTATTTAATACACGAGTTTCACAATTTGAGTTGAATTACTGAAATAAATGAACTTTTCCACGACATTCTAATTTATTGAGATGCACCTGTATAAGTCATTATAATCCGTAAGTATGTCCCCACTGGATGCAACAAATGCCTCGTTTATAATGGGTTTTAATGGGTTTTGTCTCGTCACTCCGGCCGGGACAAGGCATCACAGTATGGTAGGGGCGTAACATTTCCGTCACATGCTTGAGGTATTTGGCCAATCACAACACACTGGATAGCTGGCCAATCAGAGCACACCTCGCTTTTCAGACCGACGAGCTTTGTAAAAATCGACGCGTTTCAGAAAGGCGGGGCATAGAGGAGAAACAATAATGTACAGTATGTGGAAAATAATGTGTTTTTTGAACCTTAAACCACATTTCATTACACCAAATACACAAAATAATGTTCTTTTTAGCAACATGATATGACCCCTTTAATAAAGTAATTGAAAAGTTACACTACTTATTACATTTTAAGTAGGGTAACTTGTAATCTGTAACCTATTACATTTCCAAAGTAACCTTCCCAACACTGGCAATGTTATATACACCATACAGTATGTATACAATTGTGATGTACTGTAATTTATGTGTGAACACCACTAACTGTAAATATTATCTTTGTGTTTTATGCTGCTGATTCTAGAAATAAGACCTCCTCATAATCTGGACAGTATTCCCATCATAAATAAAATTGTAGCCAAAATAGAAAGAAACCTGCACCCAAGACAGAGAAGAATACTCCTGCACCCAAGAAGGAGAAGAAACCTCCTGCGCCCAAGAACCAATTTTCTTGGTCCATTTAAAAACTCTAGAATAGATCTGTTTCAGTACGTGTTTTAAAAAGCTATGCATCGCTTGGTATGGTTGTGCTGTTCTAATTGAACTTTAACTCTTGTTAATTTTACTGAATGCTTTCATTTCAATGTTTATTTGTTTTTTATGAAGAAATTGATGCAGAAAATGAGAAAATGCATATAAATTACCCCCATAAATATCCATTAGCCCCTCCACATCGTACAGCCATTTTGTTCTTTTTGTTGGTGTTGGATGGGGACAGAGTGGACTTTAATTTATTTGGCATGCTCCCCATAACCATTATATGATCTATTAAATAATAGTAGATTATAACTTATGGTTATTAAAATAAATATTCAACGTAGTAACAAATAACTTGACTCGTTAAGTTGTGTTTGTATCACCATTGGAGACTAACTGATTAATAGGATCGCATTGGGATGCGAGGGCAGAGACACCGAAGCAAAGACGTGTCAAACGGAGTATTCGTGCTCCCTCAAAAGAAACTTAATATGCGCCCTTATCTGGCATATGATGTAAGTATTATTGATTAAGATATTGTTAATAAATAAATATGAGCAGGCTAAATCATGCACTGTTTAAGTATGTAAAATGTAGGCCTATGGTTTATTTAAACCGCAAGAAACCTGACTTCAAATTGTGACAAATGTAAAGGGGGAGGAGAATAAAAGAATGCTGGGAACACAATGAAACCAATTTGACAAGTTTTGGGTGGATAGGTGATGCTAAAGCAAGAAATATAGGATTACATCAATTACAGTACAGTAATACAGTATCAATTTCCTCAATTCCTCCCTGGTTATTCCCCTTGCCAACTGTTGACCTTAGTATACAGCAGGAACTGAAAGACAATTCTAATCAACTTCCGATATGGTATATAGTCCAGAGGTATTTTGAGAAACATTTCCCACAGTCAATGGTTTTATTTACAGATGGATCCAAGGATCCTGACACAGGATATGCAGGTGCAGCAGTATATATTCCAATGTGTGAATTTTATATTAAGAAAAGAGTAACCAACCATTTGTCAGTATATGCTACAGAGCTATTGGCAATATTATTGGCCCTACAGTGGATAGAAGAGAAGGAAATAAATAACACTGTCATTGCATCTGATAGTTTTTCAGCTCTTGAAAGTATAAAATCTGGCAGGTCATCAGTTAGGATGGATATTATTAACGAAATATTATGCAAGATGTATGAAATTAATGTTAAGGGTATGTCTACACAATTCATTTGGGTCCCTGCTCATGTTGGTGTGGACGGAAATGAGAAGGTGGATATTCTGGCTAAACAAACTCTAAGAATAAAGCAAGTAGATCTACATATTCCATTAAGTAAAGCAGAAGCTAAAGTATACATTAGAACATATACACAATCAGTTTGGCAGATATATTGGGATGACCATGGAACGGGTAGACATTTGTATAATATACAAAAAACAGTTGATGCTGGGAGAAAGGAGAGTAGGAATCGAAGGGAAGGAAATATCATTACACGCCTTAGAATTGGACATACTGGACTTAATAGTACATTATATAGAATTGGTAAGCATCCAACTGGGGAATGTGTACACTGTAATCAACAAGAAACAGTTGAACATGTACTACTTCAATGTGTAAAATACAATAATGAGAGATATCGCCTTATTAAGTCAATGAAGAAAGTTAAACACCATGACTTTTCCTTGTCAGGTTTATTGGGGAAATCAGCTAACAAGATATATGATGATATTATTAAGTTTATAAAAGAATGTGAATTAAGTAAGAGAATATAAATAATATATATAAATAATATATAATAATATATATTGCATAAATCTTGATCCACACTCCAGTCCAGTCGGTGGCGGTAATGCACCTATTAGTTGGTTTGCCAACCGCCAATAAAACACCAAAGAAGAAGAAGAAGAAGAAGAAGAAGGGGGAGGAGAATGTGAGTGCGTCAGGTGTGTGACTTCTGCATAGAACGCACCTGTCACTCTCAGTTGTTCCCTCGCATCCTCGGCTCGCATTTCATTTACAGAACTGATAAGTACATTTTATTACATTGCTGTCAAATGTGTGTGTTGCTTACTTTTTTCACTCTCCTATAAAGTGCTTTTTGGCAGCAAAAGGGTGTAGTTACGGCATCTTTCTGAAGAGGCTAACTGCTAAAACGAGCCAGCCAAACAGTCAGGCTCTGGACACGCCTTTTTTTTGCCCACGTTCATCATATACAGAACCAGGAAACTATTTCTTCATCTCCGCAGAGAGAGGAACTGAAACCTATGTGAGCTGTTGGATAATACTTCCTGGACACACACTTTTTGCATGGAGTGTCTTACAAAGACCTTCACTTTATTTAAGAATGTGATATTAGATAGAATGGTTGACTGTTGAATCTGGTTATTTCTAGAGTTTTGGCTTTTGTTGTTCTGCCATGTGCATTTGTGTTTGCAGAAAAATGACAGAAACCATTTCATGGGCTGAAGATCAGGTCATCTGTCCAATCTGTCTATATCGACTGAAGGAACCAGTGGCCATTTCCTGTGGACACAGTTAGGCTGCTGGGATTAGGATGATCAGAAAAGAGTCTACAGCTGGAGATGGGGAGTGTGACGTCTGTACTGCGGACAAAAACAAAGCCGTCAAGTCCTGTCTGGTGTGTCTGAATTCTTACTGTCAAAATCACCTTAAAGAACATGATAGTTTATTTAGAGATGAGAGACACGGTATGATAGATGCTGCTGGACAAGTGCAGGAGATGATCTGCCCTCAACATGAAAAACCGTTGGAATTTTTTTGTCGTACTGACCAGCAATGTATATGTTATCTGTGTGTGATGGACAAGCACAAAAACCATCATACTGTATCAGCTGCAGCCGAGAGGACTGAGAAACAGGTATGAACTGAAAGTGGATATGGGTATGCTAACAACTAAACATGTTATTTCTCCTTATTTTTGATATTGATATTTTTTCATATTAAAAGTATTGTCTAATACAACATTTCTAGAAAGTTAACCAAGTGTTGCCTATGGCTGAATTTGGAATAGAATGTTACCATAGTTCTGTCATGACAACTCTGAAAGATTGTATAGGCCTACATGTTAATGTTAACGTGTTTGGTTATAGCAGATCTATTCAGGTGGAGCTGGGGAAGGTGGGGGGTTTCTGAAAGCGCACCGAAAAATGCTACAGCTAACACTGGCCAATTTAAATGTTTAGCAGGCTCATTGGCTGCTGATGTGAAAGAAACCAATCAGCTGTGCCATATAGATAATGATGTGATTACTAGCAGATTAAGTTAAAGGGATTGTTCACCCAAAAATGAAAATTCTGTCATTAATTACTCACCCTCACGTTGTTCCAAACCCATAAGACCTTTGTTTATCTTCGGAACAGACAAGAAGATATTTTTGATGAAATCCGAGAGTTTTCTGACTCTGCATAGACAGCAGTGGAACTACCACGTTCAAGGCCTAGAAAGGTAGTTAGGACATTGTTAAAATAGTCCATGTGACATCAGTGGTTCAGTCTTAATTGTATGAAGCTACGAGAATAATTTTTTGTGCGTAAAAAGAAAACAAAAATAATGACTTTATTCAACAATTTCTTCTCTTCCGTGTCTGACTTCGACACGCATTCACGAGAGTACCATGACACATGCGTGTGCATTCCTCTGCTTGCAAACAAGCCGCAGTGCATGCTTGTTCTACTTCAGAATGTTACGTGAATGCATGGCGAAAACTGACGTGGAAGAAAAGAATTGTGGAATAAAGTCGTTATTTTTGTTTTCTTTGTGCACAAAAGTATTCTCGTAGCTTCATAAAATTATGGTTTAACTACTGATGTCACATGGACTATTTTACTACCTTTCTGGGCCTTGAACTTGGTAGTTGCATTGCTGTCTATGCAGGATCAGAAAGCTCTCGGATTTCATCAAAAATATCTTAATTTGTGTTCCAAAGATGAACAAAGGTCTTACGGGTTTGGAATGACATAAAGGGCAAGCAATTAATTACATAATTTTCATTTTTGGGTGAATTATCCCTTAAAGGATCTGCACCATCTAGAGTTTCACTTTGTATTAGTCTCATTTACCACCCAATCCGGCTACTCAAAAATTAAAACAGCTACCACAATATTTATTAAATCTACTGTAAAACAACATGACAAATGTTTTCCACCTATAAGATACACAAAAATTAAACAAAAACAAATACAGTAGTTTCATTCTTTCATTGACACAAAGCAACATGAATTACAGAGTACAGAACAGGAATAAACGACCATATTTAGTTGCATTATGTGGCCTATATAAATTACATATTTTTTTACTCATTGACCATAAGTTTGGGCACATTTGACAGCTGAAAAAAAACTTATTTTTGTTTGTAAATTTGTAAAATTTGTAATGTATTGACTGTTTTAACTTGAAAAAGGTACATTGTTCCACACAGATACATTTCCATGATGTCCATGATGATCTGAAGTTGAAAGGAGCTTCAAGTTCTGATTCTGACCTGGTGAGTTCTGAAAAGAGCTGAAAGAGTAGTTGCACACAACTCCATTCAGTCAGTGAGGAATCCAGTGCTGGGCCTCTTTTTAGTTACTTTAAACCTAATTGGTAACTGGCTGTCATAAGGTATCAGAAAGGTCTGAGTGAAAGGATTAATTAGTGGTTAATTGCTGATTAATATATGATATTTAAAATTTCTTTTGAAATTAATAAGGGTGTATAATAAGATATTGTGCAGAGAAAGTGTCTCTGAATTCCGTAAAGTATTTCTCAGATTTATTTATTCATTCTTTTTTATGTAATCTAAGCAGATTGTCTCTGTTAATGTATTTTTTTTTTCTTCATGTAGAGTTTCAGGTCTCACATTTTCCCTTTTGGACCAGACTCACCAGGCATCACTGTCAGTTATCCTCAATCCTTTGATGATACACAAAAATCCATCTCTCAGCTGAAAGAGAAACTAGATAGACGGCAGAAAAAGAAGATACATGGAAGAGGTAACCTGTTTGTTTATTTACAATCAGAAAGGAGTCTTGCATTGTGCATTAAAATCAAATGTGCCTCACACATTCTGAAAAGTGAAGCCAAAATATTTTGATGGCTGGCTGCAGCATAGGTCATATAAACCCAGCCCCCTCTCTGTGTAAACGAATGGGATGTGAGCTAAATTAAAAAATATATATATCAAATTACATTACAAATACATTTTTCCCAAAGATGGTTTCTGTCATTTTAGGTAGTTCTTATCACACTGATATATGTTCAAATGTTGATTGTTCTAATAAGTTTGTTTTTAGTTAGTTATTTGATGCTATAAACTTGGGGTTTGGTGTCCTGATTGTGTGCTTGCGATTGGGTCTGCGGGAGTTTGGGCGGGACTTTGATACAGAACCGCGGCTCCACCTTATGATCACTACTGCGCAGACTTGGCCTCCAAATAATGTAATCGATGCAAGATGACAGTGGCCATGCTATGACATCCGAATACCCACACTTTTGTGGTCTTGGTAACTTGAGAGCAGGGACGTGCACAGACATTTTGAGGGGCAGGGGCTCAAGTGGAAAAAAGGGTACTTCTCATATTTATTAAAACGATTTTCTAAACAAAACACTAAATGTATTAGGGGCGTGCGATACTACTGACAAAAAATATCTCAATATTTTCTGAGATTTTATCGATAACGATAATTAGTTGATATTTTGCTGAGTGTGTTATTGTGCTGATATCTTAAGGACTACCGTGGACAGCTGACTCTTAAAGTTTTTGATATTCTGCATATTTTGTGTGGTAATCAGTTCACAGCAGTGATAGAAATGAATCTTTTCCAATAAGTTTAAAATGATTTCTTACCTTTTATGGGCATTTTTACCTTTATAAAGCCCTTTTTTCTAAAAGTGTGCATCTTTTCAGTCAGATTCTTAAATTGAATCAGTCAGTTAGAACAATAAGTCATTTGGGCTATTACCAAACAAATGAAATCAGTATTGACAAAATTAACCTTTGCAATGCAGAGGAAACGGAAGCTGCATCTGAAGTGGCATTTAGATGCATTTACACACTGTTTAATGCAGGACAGGACATTTAACCTGCAGTTAGAAATGCATTAATACTGTTTTGATATTTTAAACATAAAACATTGAATACTGATATTTAAAATTATTATTTTTTTAAATGAAAAGATACTTTAAATGTGAAATTACAACTGCCAGTAAGTGGCAGCAAGTCACTGTTAATAAGTGAGCCATTGCGACTGAACCGAATCATTTAAACGGGTGATTCTTTCAGGAACAAAACAGCGTCATGTTGCTCAGAGACGCAAATTGGAATTATATTTGTTGGCGAAATAGCGCAAAAACAGTCAATATTGTGTCTAAAACGTAAGTGTCTTAATATTAAATTCTTGTTTATTGAACTGCTGTATAAAATCAATATCTTTGTAATATATATTGCAATATATTTGTAATCATGCTGCTTTTTGGTGGAAAAAACGTCAGTCTTCGTGTGATACTGATTAACTATATGAAATTATGTAAATATATACATTTCTGCCCCCATATCTTGAATTTTGTGATAATTCTAAATGCATTTTAAAAAACTGAATCATGCAGTGAACTGAACACAAAAGTATTCTCGTAGCTTCATAAAATTATGGTTTAACTACTGATGTCACATGGACTATTTTACTACCTTTCTGGGCCTTGAACTTGGTAGTTGCATTGCTGTCTATGCAGGATCAGAAAGCTCTCGGATTTCATCAAAAATATCTTAATTTGTGTTCCAAAGATGAACAAAGGTCTTACGGGTTTGGAATGACATAAAGGGCAAGCAATTAATTACATAATTTTCATTTTTGGGTGAATTATCCCTTAAAGGATCTGCACCATCTAGAGTTTCACTTTGTATTAGTCTCATTTACCACCCAATCCGGCTACTCAAAAATTAAAACAGCTACCACAATATTTATTAAATCTACTGTAAAACAACATGACAAATGTTTTCCACCTATAAGATACACAAAAATTAAACAAAAACAAATACAGTAGTTTCATTCTTTCATTGACACAAAGCAACATGAATTACAGAGTACAGAACAGGAATAAACGACCATATTTAGTTGCATTATGTGGCCTATATAAATTACATATTTTTTTACTCATTGACCATAAGTTTGGGCACATTTGACAGCTGAAAAAAAACTTATTTTTGTTTGTAAATTTGTAATTTTCTAGTAGTATTGACTGTTTTAACTTGAAAAAGGTACATTGTTCCACACAGATACATTTCCATGATGAAATTCAGATTCTGAAGTTGAAAGGAGCTTCAAGTTCTGATTCTGACCTGGTGAGTTCTGAAAAGAGCTGAAAGAGTAGTTGCACACAACTCCATTCAGTCAGTGAGGAATCCAGTGCTGGGCCTCTTTTTAGTTACTTTAAACCTAATTGGTAACTGGCTGTCATAAGGTATCAGAAAGGTCTGAGTGAAAGGATTAATTAGTGGTTAATTGCTGATTAATATATGATATTTAAAATTTCTTTTGAAATTAATAAGGGTGTATAATAAGATATTGTGCAGAGAAAGTGTCTCTGAATTCCGTAAAGTATTTCTCAGATTTATTTATTCATTCTTTTTTATGTAATCTAAGCAGATTGTCTCTGTTAATGTATTTTTTTTTTCTTCATGTAGAGTTTCAGGTCTCACATTTTCCCTTTTGGACCAGACTCACCAGGCATCACTGTCAGTTATCCTCAATCCTTTGATGATACACAAAAATCCATCTCTCAGCTGAAAGAGAAACTAGATAGACGGCAGAAAAAGAAGATACATGGAAGAGGTAACCTGTTTGTTTATTTACAATCAGAAAGGAGTCTTGCATTGTGCATTAAAATCAAATGTGCCTCACACATTCTGAAAAGTGAAGCCAAAATATTTTGATGGCTGGCTGCAGCATAGGTCATATAAACCCAGCCCCCTCTCTGTGTAAACGAATGGGATGTGAGCTAAATTAAAAAATATATATATCAAATTACATTACAAATACATTTTTCCCAAAGATGGTTTCTGTCATTTTAGGTAGTTCTTATCACACTGATATATGTTCAAATGTTGATTGTTCTAATAAGTTTGTTTTTAGTTAGTTATTTGATGCTATAAACTTGGGGTTTGGTGTCCTGATTGTGTGCTTGCGATTGGGTCTGCGGGAGTTTGGGCGGGACTTTGATACAGAACCGCGGCTCCACCTTATGATCACTACTGCGCAGACTTGGCCTCCAAATAATGTAATCGATGCAAGATGACAGTGGCCATGCTATGACATCCGAATACCCACACTTTTGTGGTCTTGGTAACTTGAGAGCAGGGACGTGCACAGACATTTTGAGGGGCAGGGGCTCAAGTGGAAAAAAGGGTACTTCTCATATTTATTAAAACGATTTTCTAAACAAAACACTAAATGTATTAGGGGCGTGCGATACTACTGACAAAAAATATCTCAATATTTTCTGAGATTTTATCGATAACGATAATTAGTTGATATTTTGCTGAGTGTGTTATTGTGCTGATATCTTAAGGACTACCGTGGACAGCTGACTCTTAAAGTTTTTGATATTCTGCATATTTTGTGTGGTAATCAGTTCACAGCAGTGATAGAAATGAATCTTTTCCAATAAGTTTAAAATGATTTCTTACCTTTTATGGGCATTTTTACCTTTATAAAGCCCTTTTTTCTAAAAGTGTGCATCTTTTCAGTCAGATTCTTAAATTGAATCAGTCAGTTAGAACAATAAGTCATTTGGGCTATTACCAAACAAATGAAATCAGTATTGACAAAATTAACCTTTGCAATGCAGAGGAAACGGAAGCTGCATCTGAAGTGGCATTTAGATGCATTTACACACTGTTTAATGCAGGACAGGACATTTAACCTGCAGTTAGAAATGCATTAATACTGTTTTGATATTTTAAACATAAAACATTGAATACTGATATTTAAAATTATTATTTTTTTAAATGAAAAGATACTTTAAATGTGAAATTACAACTGCCAGTAAGTGGCAGCAAGTCACTGTTAATAAGTGAGCCATTGCGACTGAACCGAATCATTTAAACGGGTGATTCTTTCAGGAACAAAACAGCGTCATGTTGCTCAGAGACGCAAATTGGAATTATATTTGTTGGCGAAATAGCGCAAAAACAGTCAATATTGTGTCTAAAACGTAAGTGTCTTAATATTAAATTCTTGTTTATTGAACTGCTGTATAAAATCAATATCACATTTGTAATCATGCTGCTTTTTGGTGGACAACTAAATCTAAATTCTAAACTAATTAAATCTAAACTAAATCTAAACTAAATCTCGAATACCGCTTCGGAGCAGTATTCAAGGCTAAGCGTATCCCATCATGCACCATGTTCTGGAAATGAATTGTGAGTTTTTGCCAAAATCTTGAGAGATGTCACGGAAACCTTTCCAGTGTAAGTTAAATATTAATAATAACTAGATATTATATATAATTTGGTAGTAAAATATGAAGTGTTGCACATGGGATGGGGTAGTCTAATTCAGTGGCCTTGTTTACACCTTGTATTAAGATTAATTTTTATACCTTTGTTTTAATGCAATTGTTGAATGACAGGTCATTAGGTGTTCAAATGCATTTACAATACGAATGTAATTTGCTGTACTCAAAAATGTTTTGAACCCCATGCACACCTGTATTTAGCAAAACAGCATCTTTAAGTCATAAAACTTTTGCTATCTTCTTCATTCTTCAAAGACTGTGTATGTTTTATGTTTTTTTTCCCCCTTTTTTTAAACTACGAATGTCAAATACGGTTGTTCTTTTTCCTGTAGATTGGAGCACCATGTGTCACGGTTATCGGCTGGTGTGACTTAGATGGCCACCAGAGGTCACTGTGTCTGTTTGTTGAGCACATGGCTTGTGACCTGACATGTGGCCAAGTATGGTGACCCATACTTGGAATTAGTGCTCTGCATTTAACCCATCCAAAGTGCACACACACAGCAGTGAACACACACACACCGTGTACACTCACCCGGAGCAGTGGGCAGCCATTTTTTTGCTCCGGCGCCCGGGGAGCAGTTGGGGGTTCGGTGCCTTGCTCAAGGGCACCTCAGTCGTGGTATTGAAGGTGGGAGAGAGCGCTGTACATTCACTCCCCCCACCTACAATCCCTGCCGGTACGAGACTCGAACCCGCAACCTTTGGGTTACGAGTCCGATTCTCTAACCATTAGGCCACGACTGCCACATTATTGTTTGTTATTGCCATGTGCTCTCCTGTCTATTGTCTGACCCCGCCCTTCTTGTTATCTCATGATTGTTTTGGTTACTCCACCTGTGTCTCCCTATTTATTCTCCTTGTGTCTGCAGTCATGTGCTGTTTCGTTGTTTAATGTTATTAGTCTTATGCTCTCTCTTGCCTTGCTGTGTTGTGCCTTGTTCCTGGCCTGCCTGCCTGTTTTTCCCCCTCGGGGTAGTTTTTGTTAGTTTTGTTTTGTTTTTACCATTAATAAAGGCCCATCATCCTGCATTGAGTCCTTGCTGCTTCATCTCTCTCCTGTTCCCTGACACCATTAATCTTCTGTACAGAACTTCAGTTATTGACAGAAGTAAGTTTGTGACGGAGTATAATCTTCCATCTGATGTGCGTGTGGATCTTGCAACCCATTATACTGAACCAGTGATCATTCAGAGGTACAAAGAGCAGACTGAGAAATACTATCGTGTGGTCTGTGCGCACTTTTGGAAAACAAACATCATCACATCTGTTATCAAATGACGAGAATCATAGCATCAGAATAGACCAGCTGTTCAGACTGGCGGCGTTATTTAAAACGGCATTTTAATATTAATACGGCAGTGAAAAGCACGCAAATTCTGACCCATTTGGCTTTCGATACGTGGGCAGCGCACCGACATATAACGCCGTTGTACTTCGGCGTCCCGAGTTCGAGTCCCGGCTTGCGGACCTTTCCTGATCCCGGCCCCTTCTCTCTCTCCCACCTCACTTCATATGTAGCTACTGTCCTATCAAAATAAAGGCAAAAACGCCTAAATAAATCTAAAAATATAAATAAATATAAATAAGAACGTGATACGTGATGTAACGTATTCAGAGATCATAGCAGGGCAAAATGAGAAAGCTCTTGGAAGTACTACATTCTGGAGGAGACGGAGTGAAAAATGGCTTTTATTATGCGTGAACCTACCAATGTGGGTAGTCTAATGTGACCTGTTCTGTGGTTCTTGGTAACAGGTGATTACAAATGGAAACACATGCCTCCTGATCCTGGTTCCAAAGTAGCAGCCAGACATAATAACAGGATAAACTCACTTTTATCAATTCAAGTCACTTTATAGATTTCTTCAAGCTTATAGTTCAAGAGATCATTATTTACTGTTATATTTGAGTATTACTCTTTATTACGCTTTGTAACATTGCATTGGGGGGATTGGTCACACTGGGGATTGTAAATCTCAGCAATAAAGGGAATGAGGCAGAGTGATCTCGTTTCATGAGCAGAGACTTTTATTGGGGATTAACCAAGCAGCCAGTAAAAGAGTAAGCTGGTCGAACAGGCAGCAGAGAAGAGCAAAAGTATCAATGGGACCATTTATCAGTGGACCAATCAGGTAGCAGCCAGGGGGGTAATTATCTGGCAGGGGGTCGAAATTGGGGGTCAGACACTTAGAATTGTCCTCCAAAAAAACAACAAGACTTCAAAAAGAGCTCTGAGACTTCAGTCTAAATGTAAATATACACATAAACAACCTAATATATAACAGGTGAAGGGAATCAGAGTTAGTGACAGTCATCAGGTGGTGAACTTCCGTAGAAGTGTAACAATCTCTCACAATAAACCCTTTTCACATTTCCAGTGTTCTCTTCTCTCCAAAAGAGGGGGCAGTATATAGAGAGAGTAATTACGGCAGTCAGAAAAGAGAAAGATGTCACTCCCTATGCCATTGTATTAGAAATATCCTTGCAGCAGTGTTACTAGATTTTTCACAAAGTATAGTATTATAAATGTACATTCATTTTTTAAAAATGAAAATAAAAGAATATTGTGGAAAAGCGTCATTACAGTCTGTGAAAAGGGTCCATATCTTTACATACTTAAGTAAACCAGTTAAAAGTCTAAGTAAATGAGAAAAATGTTAAAATAGGCTGCATGGTATAATAAATTTTAAATTTCGCATTATTTGAGCAAAATTCAACATTTCAGAATAAATAGCCAGGTTAAACTACTATTTTGGGAAATTCCTTTTAGGGATTGTATTTAAGCAGAGACAACAGAGGCCTGGTTGAGACTACACACAAAATGACAGTTATATTTTCATATATTGAAGTTTGTTCTTGTAAGCTGTGGGGGTGAGGGGGACAGTGTGATCGGGAGATTTTATTAACCACTAAAGTAATAACTGCTGTGTTCTTTTTTGTAGAATGGAGTGACACTATGCTTCATTATAAAGCATCAGTCATTGATAAATGTAAGGTTGCGACAGAGTATAATCTTCCATCTGATGAGCGTGTTGATCTGGCCACCCGTTATACTGAACCAGTGATCATTCAGAGGAGCAAAGAGCAAACTGAGAAATACTATCGTGATCATGTGAGGTCTGTGGATGCTTCATCTCAACTGTTATCAAATGACAAGAATCACAGCATCAGAATAGACCAGCTGTTCAGTCCCGACAGTGAAGGAAACACCCCGAAAACTGTGATTCTCAGTGGAGATTCTGGAAGAGGGAAATCCTTCATGTTACAGAAGATCATGTTGGACTGGGCTTCTGGAGAACTTTACTCTGAAAACTTTGATGTAGTTTTTCTGTTGAAGTGTGAAGAGCTGAAGTGTGCTGTTTGGATGATGAACTTGTTTGGGCTTTTGAGCTGGAGTTGCAGTTTAACATCAGATCAGATCTCACAGATACTAGAGTTAACACCAAGGAAAGTCCTCATCCTCATTGATGGAATAGATGAGTTCTCATTTGATCCACACATTCAAATATCATTACCTACTAATCCATTGCAGAAAGCCCTGCCAATGGACACTCTTAGGCGTCTGCTGAATGGACTGATTCTGCCTGAGTCTTTCCTGCTGGTTACCACCAGATCAGCTGCAGATACAGAACTTAATCTCCTCAAGGGACCTCAGCGTTTCACTGAGATTATGGGCTTCTCTGAGAGAGGGGTGCAGGAGTACTTCCAGAAGTTCTTTCAGGATGAGCAACTCTTCAGCAAAACATATGAGAGTCTAAAAGCGAATGAAAGCCTTCTGACTGCCTGCTCTGTGCCTTTGCTGTGTTGGATGGTCTGTTTTTGTCTGAAGAAACACTTAACCGATGACGATCGTGTGATGAGAGAACTAAAGACAACCACCTCCATATATGTGCTCTTTGTGTCCACTCTACTAGAGCATCATGGTCACAGTCAGTCTGTCCTCACCATGCTGAGGAGTCTGGGTCAGCGGGCAGAGGAAGGGATGAAGAAGCAGCATGTCTTTCTTGATGAACAGTGTGTAGCCAAGACTGACTTAGATCCAGCTACTAGTGTGTTCTTGTATAAAGATAGTTTGAAAAGAAAAAACAGACAGGTGCCAGTGTTCAAGTTTATGCATTTCAGCTTTCAAGAGTTTTTCACAGGTCTTTTCTACATTATACTGGATGAAAATGAGTCCTGGGGGAAAGTCAGAGAGCTGTTGAGATCGCTGAAATCGAAGGGTATAATCAATAGACTATCTCCAGAAAGGATATCAAATCCTGTCCCTTCAGTCATGATGTTTCTCTGTGGTCTCTTAAATGAGAAAGCAAGCAGCTCACTCTTTGAAATGATCAAGTGGACTGTTCCTCAAATCATAAAACTGAAGACAGACTTGCTGGAAAGTGTTCTTACAATGAGAAGACAGCATGGATGTGAACTGTTTGCTCTTCGCTGTCTGTATGAGCTCCAGGATGAGATGTTTGTGAGGAGAGCTTTAGGAGATTGGGTATCCATGAATCTGTCCAAAGTTTCCCTGAGGAGCACAGACTGTTGGGTGCTGCTGTACTGCCTTCAGTGCTGTCCACACATCAGATACCTGCACCTCATGTACTGTGATTTAACAGCTGAGAAACTCAAGATTCTCCAGCCAGCACTCTGTATGTGTGAGACTCTGAGGTCAGTGTATTTGCATGGAGAAACACTTTGGATGGAAAATTAATTCTTGATTGACACCTTTTTTGTGTTCTTGTACTTGCAAGTGTTTTTGTGATATATGGGGTCAATAACGTGGCACAATAATAATATTAGCAATATTAATAATAATAATTAAAAACCTTCACTAAAAGTTAAAAACTTCAGGCGATATAAAGAACATGAAGAAATTCATATTTTAAAATTCAGAACAAAAACCATTAAACAGGAAATGATATCACTGTGGGTCTCTTAAAATGAGACCGATATTTTACCTCTGATGACAGCGAGTTTTGTTTAGATTGTAGATGTTTGAAAATGTAATATTTATGAATTAGAAAATGGCAATATTTGCAAAAAGAAAAAGCATTGAAAAAAAGTAAAATGTTTTTAAAGTTAAAGCTATATAATCATGTGTGTACACGCGTATTCAAGGTGCAAGAAAATGTTATTTAGTTTTTACTTTATATTTTTCGTGTCATAAAATCAGAAAATTTGCACAATTTTTCAAAACCATATGAAATCAAGATATATATCTTGGTTTACTTTAAAGGTGACATATCATGAAAATCCCAGGTTTTAAGTGCTATAATCAGGTCCCCGGTGCATCTACCAACCAAGGAAACATGAAAAAGATTAACCCAGTAACTTTGTTTTGGTTAGCGTGTCTGATTTCACTCCCTTGGTGACGTGGCAAAGGGATCTCATTATAATATTACTGGCCTTTTAATCTGTAAGTTTACACCCACAGCGCTGTCATTTGATTTCGCAAGCGACAACGGTGTACTAGTTCTAATGTCATGGCGAAAGTTTGAGCAAAACATGCTAACTGTTCTGTCTTTGGCTGCACAGACGAGCACAGAACACTGTTTAGAATCCCAGCCTCAGAAGAGACAAGACAGCAGTGGATTTATTGATTTATTTAATGTATATTGCTGCTGCCACACAGATCTAAAATAAACA